TTTTTGGATTCATGGGGTCTTCAACTAATATCATAGAGGAAAGGTGAGAAGTCCTGGTTGACTGACTCTCTGAAAATGGTCCTCCTTAGGACAATGTATAAGAAGCTTTGGGAAAGAAACCAAGGCTGATTGCCAGAAAGATGACAATCACATCAGTTGTAATGTGTGGGAAGGAAAGCTGCTGGCAATAAAGAACCAGTCCTAGAGAATGGCCATGTTTTGGAGCTTTCCATATTCTTCAGAGTCCACAGACTGGTCCAGTGCATCCAAAAGCCATTGACAAACATATACGACATGATAGTTTGGCCTTATCTCTCCTTTATATTATGTTTTTCCCACCTTTGGAATAAGAATGTATATCTCCTATTCTTCCATAGAGTCTCCAAGTTCCATCCAATGTTTGGCTGTGGATGTCTGAGTCAGCTGCTGGGTGGAGCCTCTCAGAGGACAGCCATGCTAGACTCCTATCCGCAAGCATAATAGAGTATCATTAATAGTGTCAGGGATTGGTGATTGCCCATGGGATGGGTCTCAAGTTGGGCCAGTTATTGTTTGGGCATTCCCTCAGTCTCTGCTCCATTCCCCATCCATGCATTTCTTGTAGACAGGATAAAATTGGGCATAAAGTTTTGTAGTTGGGCTGGTATCCCTATTGCTCCATTAGAGTTTCTGCCTGATTACAGGAGGAGGCTTCTTTAGGTTCTATAGCTTCAATGCTGTGAGTCAAAGCTGAGGACACACCCAGTGATTCTTGAGAGACTCCCTTATCTCAGGTCTCTGCCTTGTTCAAGAGATGGCTCCTACCTCCGCACCCCAGTCAGTTGCCGATTTCCATTTATTTTCATGGCCATCTGGCCATTTTTCCTGTCTCTCACTATACCTAAGAGAATAGTAACTCCACACGAAGACCAATAGAATCAAATAACTTGGACCCTTGGGGCTCTCAGAGACTGAACCACCAACCAAAGGACATACTAGGGCTGGACCTAGGCCTCCCCACACATATGTAGCAGATGTGAAGCTTGGTCTTTATGTGGGTCTCAAACAACTGGAGTGGGGGCTATCCCCAAAGTTGTTGCCTGTACACTGGATATGTTCTTCTATCTGGGCTGCCTTGTCTGGCCTCTGTGGGAAAGGATGCACCTAGCCTTGCAGAGACTTGGTGTGCCAGGATCAGGAGATACCTAGGGAGGTTGCCAACCATTGAGAGGAGAATGGGAGGGGAAAGGTTGAGGGAGGAGGTGACTGGGAGGTGGCAGTGAGCAGGATATAAAGTGATTAAGTAAAAGATAAATGTGTATCCTGCACCTGTCTTCCCATTGAATCTTGGGTCTAAACACTTCACTGTAATTTTTATAGAGGCTTAAAACTAAACTAGCCGTGACTCTTGGAGGAGACTTTGGATGTTTAAGCAACGCTGAAACAGTTAAAACCTTCTGAGTGGGGTAGGGTAGAGAGAAACATACTTTGCAAGATTCACATGAGCCTTTGAGGGTTGGAAATCAACTGGAGTGAGTGTGCTTCATGTGTTCTCAAAAGGCTCCTGTAATAAAAGATTGATCCCCAGATGGCAGTGTTGAGACGGAAGGCTTAGAGGGCGCTCCTTCATCTTCATGGCATGTGGATCACAGCTCCTCCCTACTAGCTGTCTTTCAAGGTCTGACCATTACATAAGCAGTTTACTTTGTCACATGCTCCAACCATGTGTGCTAACTTGGCACAGGCTTAGCAAAATGAAGCCAATTGACACGCGGCTCGGACCTCCAACATATTACCTCAAATTAACTCATTGTCTTTACAAGTTATTCTTTCAGGTAAGTGTTTTACTTTATTTTACATAAGAAGTTTATTGCTTGATATAGAGCATTGGGATCTCTTCTGCATGCAGTGTATTTAGGACTCCTTTCTCTTTTAGACTAAATTTCTCATAAGAAATCAAATGTAATTCATTTTTTATAAGCAGTGTATTGTTTATCTTTATATGCATTTGGTATATTGTGCTCTTTGGTTATCAGAAATATGTACATGAAATCATCAAACATTCTTTACTTTCAGTGTCTTCAATTGTATTTTTTATTTCATTGGTTATTTTATTTATTTATATTTCAAATGTTATCCCCCTTCCCAGTTAAACCCCTTATCCCTCCCCAGTTGCCCCTGCTTGTATAAGAGTACTCTCCCACCCACCCCTCCCATCTCAGCTCCCTGGCATTCTCCTATGCTGGGTCATCCAGCCTTCATAGGACCAAGGGCCGCCTCTCCCATTTGTGACCATATAACATCTTTCTCTTTTAATTTTTGGAAATGTAAAACTCTTTCATTACATTTATTTGTAGACTTTTTTATTATAGTCTAAAATCCATTCTGATTAGTCATCTGTATCTTCTCTTTCCTTTCTCCCAGTCCAGTCAAACCCCAATCTTGTGTTCTCTCTACAAGTTCCTTTTCTACATTCATTTGCTTATGTTTATAGATTTTACTCAGTGCTTCCCATGTAACTATGTGTATGGAAATATGCACTAAATATATTTCTACAAAAATGTATGTCATAGTTGCCATTCCATTGCTATGAATAGTCTAATTTATTAACCTTACTAATATTATCAGTGGTACAATTTCAGATTTGATCTCTGTTTACCCAATTTATATTTTATAATTTCAAGAAGAAAAAGATATAGAATGCAATCAAATGCTCTCAAACACAAATACTTAAAGAATGTTACTAAGTCTGTTACCTTTTCAAAATGTTTAAGATAGTTTAAAACATGTACAAATCAGATAGAAGAAGGGTGAGTTTACATCTTTATCTCTTGGTACAGGACAGTATAAGTAATACTTTTATAAACATGGTAAAAATACAGAGTAGAAGTATAAAATCAGGTGTCAATATTCATGACTTCAAAAGGATTTCACGCAAAGATATTTGCAATATTGAACTAGGAATATATAGAGCTTTCAGGCAACTGTTTGACAAGTTCAATCCCCTTTAACACTGGAAGCAACTACAATACACTTGAGATTGCTACTTTATTGGCATATGTGCTAATAATGGTTTCACTGATATCTTCAGACATGTACAAAATATATTTTAGTGATGATCACCCTGATAATGTTTTTTCCTTTTATCACTCCTAATAATCCCCTTCTTTTCAACCAGCTGTTTTCCACTATTGTGTCTTCTTTCTCTTAGGATTCAATAGTATCAATATAAGCACTTGGGTGAGAGTTTGCAACAGAAATGTCTCTCCTTTCTTTATCAATCTTTATCTGCATACGAACTCTCAGGGAGTTTGCTACTGTGCCTTCAGTGGCAGGTGTTAATATGTCCATTCTTGGCAGATCTTGTGAAGTTAATCATAGCTGTTATAAGCTCAAGAGTCCAAAAGTCCAATCATGTCATACCAGAAAGTCAGTGTTCCACACCTCTCCTCTTACAATCCCTATGCCCATTCCAAGATAATCCTTGAACTTTGGTGGTGGTGATATAGATGTCCTCCTTATGGATGAACCTTCAATTGTATTTTATTTTTAGTATGTTGAACAGTTAGAAATCTATGCAATCACTACTGGTCACCTCAAAAATAAGTTTACTTTTGAAAATTTATTTTTTAGATTATAATATAATTAGAGGCATTCTCACTTTCCTTGTCTCCAAGCCCTCCTATATAACCCTCCCTGTTCTTCCTCAAATTAGGGCATCTTTCCACAGTAATTATTATTGCATTCACATATACATGAATAAATGAATATATATGAATGAATGTATATGTCTATATATATATCCATGAATATGTTTATTCTTGAATATCCATATATATTTTTTCTTAAATATGCCCTGTTCCATATATACTTGTTTGTATGCTTTCAAGGCTGACTTTTGGCACTGAACAACTAATTAATGTGCTTTTCTCTGGGGAAGATTGCCTCTCACACTTACAGCTTTGCTCAGTTGCCTGTAGTTCTCTGTGTAGGGTCGAGCGTTATAGACCTGTTATCTTTGGTTTGGCATGCCTGTTGGTGTTAATGCTTGTTTATCTCGCATTTGGGCAGTCACATTGGTAAGACTTTTATGGACATAGCTTTTGACAATACATGGAGACACAATATTAGAGCAAATTCCTGATCCTCTGACTCTTCCAGTCTTTCTGCCCCTTCTTCCACAGCATTCCCTGAGCTTTGAGTATGAGTGTAAATTTTCTAAACCACCATAATCCCCAAAAACAACCTACAAATATCTGTCTCTATTTCCACAGATAAGTGTAGTCTGGATCCCTCATCAAGAAACCTCTTTGCAACAGATAGGGGCCACTACAAAACTAACAAATAAACATGCATAATACATATACACGTAAATACATAATACATACATATACACATACATATGCACATACATATACACATACATACATACATACATACATACATACATACTACTAGTATAGAGTTGTGCAGCCCAGTACAATTGGATACATCTACAAGAAGAAGATACTTGGACCAAAGTTGCCAACATAATTGTTTTCCTTTTTCATCAACTGTCTTGTTTAGGTAAAGACCAATGCAATAAACCTGTTCAGCCACACAAGACAATCCCACTTGTGTAATAGTGGCAAGACCATTAATAACTATATTCTGATCAGATTTGATTCCTATTCCTCAGGAAGGAATTTATATCCAGTACTGTAAAAGTATTCAAGAAAGCCTGGATTTCATAGTCCAGGATTTTATCATAGTCCTTAGAGGGAAAGTTATTACTGATGTTTTACTAAATAAACATAATATGCTTGTCATTTTTTTCTATTTAATTATGTTTATAACTAAACAATGCTGGTTTTGTTGTAACAAACTGACTCTTTCATGAGGTGAATGTTTCCATAATTATCACTTTCAAGTTGATCTATGTAAAATAGCACAGAAATTTCTACAAATAAAATTTTAATTCATTTAGAAAGATAATATATACAGGATTTTGAATTAAAAGAATACCACAATTATAGATTCAGTTGAATAAGTTTATTGGGGAAAGAGAAAATCCTCTTGGTTAAAATCCAAAAGGATCTGTGACAGAATCATCACAATGAATGACAATTTAGGCACACAGACTATGCATTTCACATTCTTCCACTTTTTAAAACAAATTTTCAAAATGATTAATTGGACATTTTAGACACAGAAGGAACCAAGACTTCAGTAAACTTATATCGGAAACCTGTAATTTACATCATCAGTATGTAAGCAGGAGACTTAGAATATACGAGGTGAAGAGTGGCAAAATCCGGACATCACAGTTAGAAGAAGCTTAGAGTCTTCTATTGTGTCTTCAGTAGTAGTAGCCAAACCCAGATCCATAGCCAGAGCCACAGCCATAGCCACAGCCATAGAGAGAGCGTGAGCCATAGCCACAGCCATAGCCATAGCCACAGCCCAGTCCACGGTAGCCACAGCCATAGTAGGAGCCATAGCCACAGCCCAGGCCTCCATAGCCATAGCCCAGGCCTCCATAGCCACAGCAGCCATAGCCTCTGCCGCCATAGTAGTTTCCGTAGTAGCCACACATGGTGTTGGTTGTTGAGGTTGTTCTTGGGTAGAGAGGAGTGTAGGTGACTTGAGTCTGTATACTTCTGCCTGTAGGGAAGCCCTTTTATATTCTCTCCGTGTGGGTGGAGTCCACCCTGCACCCATGCTATTGGCTAATTTTATGACTAGTCTAATTATTTTGTTGTTTCCATTGTGAAAATACTTCACAGCCATTAAAGAAGCTTGCTTGGCTTCATATCTCATGTGAACATTCTTTGTCTAGTTTAGGGTTCCAAAGTAGTAGTGTACATCACATGCACTAATAGCTAGAGAATTGTGACCCAAATGATGCTTCCATTTTAACCTTCTAATACTATACTATATGCTGATGTGACACTTCCTTAGTCAAAATTTGTTTTGTATCTCAATTCTACAAAAGCCATACCTTCTCTTTGAATCATGAAATTTTTTTTTTACTTGGAATGCAAATTCATTTTCTGCTTCAGGGTTCAATTCTTTTACTTTTTTGAAATCAAACATATTTTTCATACCCTTGATGGTAATAATATTCCAACCAATTAGTACTTTAGAAAATGAACTATGAGCTAAATGCATTACTTTTTATTGTTATACAAATGAGACTAATCCTATTTGAATTTAATTTCTATAAAGCAAAGAATTTTTATTTATTGCATAGGATCTTATTTCTCCATTTATTTTTACAAATAAGTGCATGGTGATTAATCAATACTTTAATGAATATTAGAATTATATTTTATGCACAGCACTACACAATGAGCTTACCATCATGTATTTACTTTGACGAAATTACTTAAATCAAGTACTCTTTCTTTAGCAAGTAATGCCAGAATTATTCTGTTTTCGATGCAAATACTGAGCTTCGACAGCTTTGTAATTGCCCCTGCTCCCATTTGGTTTTGTGTGATAATGAATCCTCCTAATAAATTCACACAAAAGCCAGGGTAGTTTTATTTTTCATTGGAATTTTGTATAAGGGACTAGGTCAGAAGTGACGTTATCCTCGTGTTCAGCACATTTACCTTGGTTAGTGTTGAAAAAGAGTAAAGAAGTCTCCCAATAGAGCATTTTCATACTGATGTTTAAAGCAAACACAACTATTTACTCATTTTCATTGTGTGTACATGTATGTGCGTGTGCATGTAGGTTTGTGTGTGTGTGTGTGTGTGTGTATGTGTCTGCAGTATGCTGATGGTCTCATAGTAATATGATGGCCTCAGACATGAAATCATACCACCACAACCTTGTGAGTGCCAGGACTTCAGAGCATGTAACTCGATTCTCAAATCAATATGGGCCTTTGAATATTCTTTTTGTTAATGAATCTTGGTAGAATATAGTTGGGGTAGGTCTTGTGCTGCTATGTATTCAAAGGCTAAATTCTGTACCCGTAGCTCTACCTGGTGGCCTCAAGACAAGCGAATTCTTACGTATACAAGCTTTGGTCCCCAAATTAATTTTCAATAAAAGAGTAAAGCCTGTGATTGGGCAGTAGAGCGTAATAGGTATGACTTCCAGGGAGGGAGAAAGGAACTCTGAGAAGAAGACAGAGGAAGCCCTTTAGTCAGGAGACATGAGGAGAGACAGACATGACTACAGGCCTGGAAAGTATAGCTAGCCATGTGGGTGGATCCAGCTAGGTGGTCAGATTAACTTGCATGATATATTTGAAAGTCTGCCCAACTAAGGATTAGGCTTTGAAATATTAAGAGGTCTCTGTGGTTATTTGGGAAACTAGCTGGTTAAGAAAAAACTACTGCTGTGTTAATTTCCAGCATTAATTAATGTATCTTTTGGGTATGTGTCCAGGAGTGGTATAGCTAGATCCTCATGTAATACTATGTCCAATTTTCAGAGGAACTGCCAGACTGATTTCCAGAGTGGTTGTACCAGCTTGCAATCCCACCAACAATCGAGGAGTGTTCCTCTTTTACCACATGCTTGCCATCATCTGCTGGCACCTGAGCTTTTTATCTTAGCTATTCCAACTAGTGTGAGATGGAATCTCAGGATTGTTTTGATTTACATTTCCCTGATGACTAAGGATGATGAACATTTCTGCTTCTCAGCCATTCAGAATTCCTCAGTTGAGAATTCTTTATTTAGCTCTGTACCCCATTTTTAATAGGATTATTTTATTGTCTGGAGTCTAACTTCTAGAGTTCTTTTTATATATCGGATATTAGCCCTCTATTGGATGTAGGATTGGTAAAGATTTTTCCCAATCTGTTGGTTGCTGATTTGTCCTATTGACAGTGTCCTTTGCCTTAATGAAGCTTTGTAACTCTATGAGATCCCATTTGTCTATTGTTGATCTTAGAGCATTAGCCATTGGTGTTCTGTTCAGGAGCTTTCCCCCTCTCCCCATGTGTTAGAGGCTTTTCCCCACTTTCTCGTCTATTAGTTTCAGTGTATCTGGTTTTATGTGGAGGTCCTTGATTCACTTGGACTTGAGCTTTGTACAAGGAGATAAGAATGGATTGATTTGCATTCTTCTTCATCCTGATGGCCAGCTGAACCAGCAGCATTTATTGAAAATAAATGCTGTCTTTTTTCCACTGGATGGTTTTAGCTCCTTTTTCAAAGATAAAGTGACAAGAGATATGTGAGTTCATTTCTGGGTCTTCAATTCTATTGCATAAAAAAGAACAATGGTGGCTTTCCTTGAGTTTTAAATTGTTCCCTCCACAAACACTTCCATTTTTTCTCTACTATTTTCATATTGTTTCATGTATTTTAAACACTGTGTATTCTCATTTTTTTCTGTGATAACAAAGATTTATTTGATAAGGTCATATTTGTGATTCTTTTTTTTAAAATCAAATCATAATTTTTACTTCTTCACAGAGGAGTTATAAATACGAAAAGGCAGGATGCGAGGAAGAGGATGACACTGGAGTGGAGGTATTCAGGGGGTGTACAGATATCTTTCAGGACAGGGTTTTGTCTGGGTGAAGTTTCAGGTGACAGGTCAGTATGTCTCTGCCTATGATTCACTTGTCCTTATCTAAGTTGGTACTATCCACCAAGGCTAGATATTTACAAGGTCTATGACTACTCAGGCTGGTAAATTTCCACAAAAACTGTCTGTTTTCAATAGCTTATAGCTGTCTGTTTCAGTGTTTTTCCACAGAGACCCAAGACTTTGTGTTAGTATACATGTATTACAGGCCTATTGCTGATTTCAGGCCTATAGCTGATTTTAGGTCTTCAGTGTATAAGCAGGGTGCCCCTGACATCTCTTCCCTTCTCTAAGTATAAAAAGGCCATGGTGATTCTAATCTTGTGTCCCATTTTTCAAAAGAGTTTTTGATCACTTCTAGTTTCAGATTGCTAATATAGGGATCACAAAGATTTCTGTCTAAATCATCATTAAGTTCAGGTTCTCTCCCATTTTCTAGAGCTTTGGGCATGTGGAATCACCATCCTTTTCTTCTATTGTTGAAAGACTACCCACTTTATTTCTTTCCCAACTTCACATGTTTGCTTTAATTTCATTTTTTTAACCTACTGCTCCCATTTAATTGTTTAGAACTACTTTTCCCCTCCATGTATTTATTTATTTATTTTAATTAATTAATTAATTGATTGACTTTACATCCCTATAGCTCCCTCACTTCTCCCCGTTCTTTTTTTATATAGTCCCTCCTCCTATCTGCCCTTCCCTTCCCCTCTGAGATGGCAGAGTCTTCCCATGGGTATCTGCCTACTCTGGTACACTAATTCTCTGCAGAACTAGGAGCATTCTCTCCCAGTGAGGCCAGACAAGGCAGCCCAGTTAGAGAAACAGGATCCAGAGGCAGGCAACAGCTTTAAAGACAGTGCCCGTTCCAGTTGTTGGGGAACCCACATGAAGACCAAGTTGCACATCTGCTACATTCTCCTTTTATTCTTGAGATTTTTTCTCAGTTATAAAGTTTATATAAACTTATGTATGACTATGCAAGTGTAATTAAATTCATCACATAACCTCTCATCTGTTAGATAATAGAACTATCCAATTCTTAACCATAAATATGTATCTCTAAATGACTAAATGACATATACATACATTGATAGTTACCATAAAAAGTTATGAATGGAACCTAAAATATGTGATTTTCCAAACTCTCAAGTGTCTTCCTTTCTCTGTCTATAGTTCTTGGAATGAAAAGCACTCAAATTAGACCAGACCCTTTTATAGAACTATTCTTTAATATATGCCGAGAATACATCTTTTGCTAGATTCCAGGAACCACACAATTAAACTTCAGAATAACGACATTCAGACTACTGAAGACCTCAAATGCTGTATTAGGAATGCTTAGTTGAGTTTTAAAATGAGTTACCTTAATTTTCAATTTATCTTCAATCTCAAGGTAGATTTTTGTTTGTTTGTTTGTTTGTTTGGCTGGTTGGTTGTTGTTGTTGTAGTTCTGTTTTTACCTGAAGCTTAGGTAACCTATCCTTCCTGGTTTAGCTTGTCTTTTTTTTTTAAACAGTGTCTGCGAGGATACTTCATTATGTTCTATCCCTCTTAATGCTATCTAACAGACTTAGTGCCCTCATAATGGACAACTTTGCATTTGAAGCCTTTGCCCTACTGTTACAACCTTCTGGAAACAGTAACATGAATGAGCTTTTCCTCTTCTATTTTCTTTTATCCTTCCCAAGCAACAGTTCTTGACCACCTACTTGCAACATTTTTAAAATTTACCTTAGCTCATGTTGGCATTGCACATGTGGTCTTGTATATCTTGTGACTTGCCTATCCTCAGGTGGTGTGTCAATAGTGTCAAACATAACATTTTGATTAAAAGTTATGATATAAAAATTCAAATAGCTTTAAAATTTCCTCTTTCCAACTCTAGTTTGAAATAATTTCAACTCACAAAAAGCTGAAAAATATTTGTTTTCTTTTCAATGAGTTCTGCCTTTGTTTATTCAAAACAACTAGAAAGAAAAATCAAACACTGGCAAAACCCCCTAAGGATGCTGTTCAGATTAAAACAATGACTCACTATCTTTCTGTTCT